CATCTTATTCATATCCGCGAAATAATGCTGAATAATTTCGCCATAAATACGTGGCGCGTCCGCGTGGGCGTAAAGTAACGATAATGCAAGTAAATAATGGACGCAAGAGTTTTATTACCTAGCCGGCTGAATGGCGAGATAGAATCTACGTGTCCACGGCAGTACAGCCCCCTCGAACGTCGGCCAACGGAAGAGAACGGAACAGGAGAAAAGAGAAAAGAGAAAAGAGAAAAGAAGAGAAACGGCACGAAGCAGAGACGAGACGAGACGAGACGAGACACGGGACAAAACAGAGTTCGTTTCGGTACTCTTTTCGATGGTGTTTCACTCTGCTAAAAATCCGACGCGCGACAGAGCTTCTCGTACGTTCAATTGGCCGTTCGACGACGTTATTCCCCTTATATCGTCTCTCAAATAAACCGTACCGGTCGCTTCGGGCGGCATTATCGTCCTCCTTTACGACTTTATAGACGCGACTCCTTTGTCTCGTGCTTCGAGCAAATTCTCGTGTCGTTCTCGCAAACGGTTCAAACTTGCGAAATGGATAGTTATTCGATATATAGGTCACCGTTTGGAATACCAGTTCCCTATTCGTTCTATTCTGTCGCATCGTGGCGCAGCGGCGCTCACCGATCACGAGCATCACGCCTCGTTCACGTTCTAAAAGGAACATGTTCCGACTTTTCTCGCAAGGATGAGCTTGCGCGTGACTAATTAACAACCGTTAATCGCATCGAAAATGCTCCTTCCTCCTCCCCTTTCGTTCCTCCGATTTTCTCTTTCGCCGCGCGGCGTTCGGTGATTTCTTCCCCGGTCGCGTTTCGAGGAACGAAAAGATTCCATTCGGGGAAAACGAACGGTCGATTTCGAAGGGACAAATCGTTTCTGTGTCGCCGCGAGGAAACGTACCGAGCCATAAATCGCGAGTCGAATCAACGTCCGAACTTAATCCTTGATTCTGCCACGCCTTCTACGTTTCTTTCTTTGCGCCTTCGTCTGGAAACTTTCTTCTTCTCCTTCTTCCTCGTACGCTCCTCTTTCATCGTCCTCATCTCCATCTTTCCTTTCTGATTCTCTTTCTCCTCCTCCCCCTGACCCTTTTCGTTCTTGTTGCCTACCCTTCTCTCTTGTCGCGTCGCTGGCGCGTTTCTGGCGCGAGATGGGCCACAGGCGTCGCCCGTCTCGCGCCGTCGTTTTAGTAAATTACCGGCTTGCCGAGCAGGGAACAACACTGTTCTACGGACACCATTATTTTCGCACAACTTTGTGTATACCGCTCCTCTTCGCGTTTCAGCGACGCGTGTCCTCCTCGCCTTCTCGAAGCTGACCCGTGTACGGTGGGAATCTAGAATTCATTGTTGAATCGTTCGATTGCGATCGCTTTTCGAACGCGTCCGCGAATAGTCGCGGTTAATTAGAGTCGATAGAAACCGAACGAATCGAACGATCGTTAGAATTCAGGGGTTCTTCGTCGAAAAGTTGACGGTTCGGAAAAATGGCGGACGGTGCGCGGCTGACATTTTCTCCTGCGGTTATCGCGATAACATGGCTTTAGGTCAGAGGGTGTGGCCTCGTCGGATTGATTCGGCGAGCCCGCTCCTGCGCGCTACGCTTCGTTACCGCGAACAGCATGGCCGCTTTCCGTGTCGCGGCTTTTCATCCATCTTTCTTCTTCCATTTGCCCCGAGACCCGATAAATAGACCGAACGATAAAGCTGTCGCTATATCGCCGTTGAATTCATCTGATGATTCGCTTACGATAATTATGATATACGGCGCGAGCCGCGGAGACGGCGCGGCGCGGCACGGCATGCCGCATTTCGTTTCGTTTCATTTTGTGCAACGATCGGCCCTAAACTATATCGCTCGCGTGAACGCCGTTGTCACAGTCGGGTCATTTCGCTAAATTTCATAGACGGACACGAGCGACATAAGTTTCCGCGGCCCACGAGGCGGTTCGTTCGCCAGGAATTCAAGACCGTCGAAGTTTTCCGCCGTTGTTTATCCGCGAGCGCGTTTCCTTTTCACGCGTCTAGCACGATGTCGTTGATTCGCGAGGATCCCGTCCCCCGCGAGCCGCGCTCGCTCTCGAGTTCAGTACTTTTCCAGACAGTTTGACGGTCGTATCGTTCGCTTCGATTTAACTCGATTAGCTTGCGCGTCGGTTTCCTTTTTCTTTTTTTCCTTCTCCACGCGAAGGAAATCGCGTTCGCGCGTATAATCTATACGATGGAGAACGATTTATCACGATGCGCGTATAAATGAGAGCACGCCGCGCGCGGCAGCGATTGCGCGCGTTCCTTTGTCAGCGACGGAGCCTGTGATTGGTCGGAATAAAAAGTGCTAGGCGGAACGAGCGAGTGCGGGGCAACACCGACAGAAACGTTTTTCTAGTTGCACGCTAGTTACGATGACGACGCACTATCCGTCCGCGGCGTGGGTGTTCCTTCTCGGTCTGACAGATTCGAGAACGCATTATTAACACCGACGACCCTGGCTCTATGATTACGCGCATTAATAGTTGGATGGACGAACTTTGTTCACGCTCCGCACTATTATTATCGCAGCGCGAATCGAAAGACACTCTCGAATCAAATCAAAGGGACAGGGAACAGGGACGGTTACATGCCTAGGGAGACCGACTACGAATGCGAATGCGAATGCGAATGCGAATGCGAATGCGAATGTGAATGCGAATGCCGTAGGCGCACGTTAAGTACGTCAAAGATGGCAGCGTTATTTTCACGTGTTCATTTCCATCTGTTCAATGCCTGATGTATCCTAGTTACGTGCGAGTTCAATAATTCGCGTCGCGGGCGCTACAATTTGCGAGTATTTGAGTCGCTCAGAAACCGATGCGGTTAAGTCCAGAAAAGGAAAATTGGGGAAATTAATGTTTTGGCTTCTGAAATGATTATGAAACGTATTCGAAAGCAATAAGAAGGACTTCCTGACCTAGAAAACACAAAGAAACTAGTAAATCCTTTAACTCTTTAGCTACTGTACACCAATACGTCGGCTTTCGTGTATATCATCTTTTCGAACGATAAGCCATTATAACGGCACAATTCCTTCTCTGTTAATAATTACTCTTATAGCCTAATGTAACGTAATTGCATAGTAGAAAATTCTATCAGTCTCAAATCGTAATGACAGTACATTTATGATATGCAAACTGCGTCGAAACCGGTCGTAACTAAAAGGTTAATGTCTAAGAATATTATTTATTCCATTAAAATTTACAAAAATCAGGGGATATAAAAAAATCGACGTAAACGCTCCGACTTCCGAGCGACTGATTTATAAATCTGAATCTGGTCTAGAGCGTGAAATTAATTTAGCCGTACGAGCCGTTTTCGGAAAATGCTTTTCCCTCGAATTGTCGTAGACGCGTTCATCCGAAGCCGGTTGATCGCGACGCTCGTCGGTTATTTTATCGAGGGAGACGATACGCCATTTAAATATAATGTTTGACGCGCGAGCGCGAGCACAACGTGCTACGATGCAAACTCCTTTTCAAACTGCATATCGGGTACGATCGAGTGTTGCGAGTATACCAATCTTCCGGCGATGAATAATTCATTGTGTAAATAATTCATAAATCACGGTATAAGCTCGCTGAACGGGGGTCCGAATCGTTTGAAAATTTCCGTTCACGTTCTTTTTAATTCGCGATTTCTTTCCCTTTACGGACTGTTCTCGTTTTTGCGCGCCGACGCGTTTTTCACGCGATTATCCACTAAATCGGTCGTTTATCGGTCTTTTCCCCGGAAAGTGTCGAACGTCGACCACGCGATCATGTAAGATGGTCTAAGAAAATTTCGTTGTCCCGTTTAGTGGTAACGAATGTAACGAGATCTCGGTTGAAATTGCTGCCAGATTTCCCGCAGATTTACAAGCATAAATTCGAAGCGTTCGTTCGATGCCGGTGTCCGTCGCTTTATTGGCAGTCGTTCGCTATACTACCGCGAATTCATCTTGTCTGCGATGCATCGTGAATTCTATACGGCTGAAGGCTGCTTAAAAATTCATCATACGTATTCCATACCGTTCCGTTCGATCCATGCCATAACGGAGACGTTGGGTTAGCTAAAAATTTGAACGCGCGAAAAATGACGCGAGACGACTATTACAGCTTCGAGCGTGACTTCACTTCCCTTGGTGAACTTCAGCTGAAAACTTCGAATCTCGGAAGTCATTGAGTTTCTCTTGAAAATTCGAATCATGGACGTCTGGTGCTAAGGGAGTTGAAACATGTCCATTCTATCTTTGTACGTGGATGGCTTTTTCGACCCGCGGTATTAAAATATTTACGAATGAGCGCGACCTATGCGCCGAGCGGAGTGGCATTGGTCGAGTGCGTGGAGAACGTGGCACGCGAGGGCGGTGTTGCGCGTGTACAAATCATGCGAAGAATGACGCAGCGGCAATAGCGATGCAACGGCAACGGTTCTGCTCCAATCTTAAGGGACGAAGCGCTACTCTCTGCCCTCTTCCTTCTGGCCACTTCCTTTCGGTTGGTCGCGCGTCGGTTCGGCTGGTCCCGTGTCGGTACTATATAGTAGTTGGTATATGCCTACATACATCTCCTCTCGAAGCGGCCGGATCGGCGCACGAGGCGTGGGGTGTAGAAGACCTCATGCTGCACAGTCCCCGATGCGTTCGTTGCATATTAACCGAGAACAACGCTCCGTGTGCCCTTTCGTGAATCAGCATACCGCAAGTCACTCGTTCGTTTACCCGTCCGCCCGCTTGCTTAACCTACTCCTGACTCGTCTCCACGGCCGACATCGACATTCTCGATCGAACCTGTCCCGAATGTCCTCGTTCGCCCCGATCCTCGAGTTTGCTCCGTTGGTTATGGCGTCTAAAATCGATAGGACACGGCGCAGCGGCGCGACCGGTCGCTCGTTGACCACTGTCGAGCCAAGCGATACGTAAGATTTCCCGCGTTCGAGTTGATATGAAGCGTGTTGTCGACTGGTTCGTTTTGTTTCCAGCAGACGTCGGACCTGGACACGTTGCTGTGCAGACAAGACCTCGACCGACTCCAGAAACTCGACGAGGATGATCCGCAGAAAGACGCGAGGGAAGCCTCGATGCAGATGGAGGACTTCTTCGAGGTCGGCGGGCCGGCGTGTCGACCTCAGGCTAGCTTCGTCTCGTCGAGGAGTCACCCAGCGGGCAACGACGACGACGTGTTCCTCAGGCCGCCGCTATGGGAGGACATCACCTCGAGTATCCAGAAGTTGGACCCGGAGAACGCGGACATGCTCGGCTCGCAGTCTCACGTCAAAATGGAGACCGACGATGTGACGTCGCCGGTCTTGTCGCCGATCGAGATTAAGAGCGAGCCGTTGCCACCACCGCCGACATTGCACCTCCTCGAGGGACCCGTGTCGAATCCGGTGCAAACGTTCGCGAACGGTCACCAGAACGCTTCGAACGGTCCGCGTGTCGTCCACCATAGGACCCCTACTCCTGCCTTTAAGACTTTTCCTCCTCCACCTCCGCCACCTCCTCCTCCGCCTCCGCCGAACAATAACAACAACAATAGCAGTAGCGTTAACAACAACAACAATAGCAGCAACAACAACAACAACAACAATAACAACAGCAGCGTTAACAATAACAACAGTAGCAGCAATGGCAGCAGCACCGGGAGCATCGCGATTAACAACGGCAGCGGAGCGGATAGTAACAACGGTAACAACTGCAGCAATAATAACACCAGCAGCGGCAACAACAACAACAATAACAACAACAACGATTCGACGGCGAATCATCAGGTTGGAGGGAACGCGTCGTCGCCGCTGTACGGCTCGATGACGAGGCTGATGTACATATCTCCGTTGACGCCACCGATTTCCGACCCCGGCTCGCCGATCGGTGCTCCGAGGCGGACACCGCCACCGCCGTACCCTCAACCTTCCATCATGAATCCCACTCACAGGATTCAGCATTCAGGCATCACCACGAAATTCAACAGGCGGAACAATCCGGAGCTGGAAAAGCGACGCGTTCACCATTGCGATTTCATAGGTAAGGATCATAACGATCGAGCGGGATTCGTTGAGTATCAACGAACGTCGCGCGGGGATAGACGCGGGGACAAAGTTGACGATGTTCGCAACGGTTTTTCAGGTTGCACGAAGGTCTACACGAAGAGTTCGCATCTGAAGGCGCATCAACGGATACACACAGGTGAGTCGATTTCGTGCGGCGAATGTCCGAGATTGCCGAATAGCCGAATAGCCAGACAGCGGTTTAGGGATAAACGGGAGGCAGGGAAGAAGGAATGGTCGAGGTAATTAGGTATGTAGCTCATCTACGAAGCGAAACGAAGCGTTCCGTTCGAAAGCGCGAGGTCGAGTCGAGTCGAGTCGAGTCGAGTTGAGTCGAGTCGAGACGAACTCTCGGCGTGGGCAGGGCGCGGTTCTCGCAGCCTCTCTTTCGTCTTTCGTCTCTCGGCTAGCGTCTCTCGCCTCTCACCTCTCGCCTCGCGCCTCTCGCCTCTCGCCGCTCGTTTCTCGCCCCACGTTTCTCGTCTCTCGTCGCTGGTTTCTGGTCTCTGGTCTCTGGTCTCTGGTCTCGGGTCTCCCGTCTTTCGTCTCTATCGCGAGACGCGCCGCGCCGCGGCCCGCGGCTGATCCATCTCTCTCCTCGTTCAACCTTCGCTTCCTTCTCCCTCGTTAGCTCCTCCGTCTCGCTCTCCGTGTCACTGCAGCATTTCCGTCTGTGAGCGCAGTGTCGCTGGAAGGAGCCTCTATATCGTATGTAAACGTATAAGGAACGCGCGAAGCATGGTATGCGACTCACCGCTTCGTAGACTCGAGCCAGCGACCCACATCCTGTCCGTATCCAAACATGCTGCCCGCTAACGCGCTTCTACCAGTACACCTACGTGGATTTGCGCGTGTACGGGGGAGATCGCGCGAGATCGCACGCCGAATCGGATCCTGCTCTCGGCGAGGAGAATTCGCCGCAGAGGCTGGCTCGATTTCACCGGAACGGATTTCCTCGGGAAAAGCGAGATTCCACCGGATCACGATTTCGCGGCGACGAGTCCGCCGAATTTCGGTTGCGCGTGTTTCTCCGCCGACGCGCGCCGGTATCCGCGTTCCAGAAGTCGCGGACCGGCGAAAAATCCACGACGTTGAACGAACGGTGGCACGTTTCCCTCGCCTTGAGAGCGACACAGGCTTATTCTCCGTTTGCGAATGACCACGCGCACCACCGGTGGACGCTTACCCGAGTAGCTGGCGAAAAAGAACGACGAGAAGTATACGTGTGCTTCAACACGGTGAATTCGTTCATTCAGGATGCGTCCACGCGCCGTTGCATTGGCGTACGCCGCGTGCCGTACGCTTTCCACCGAATTCGTCTTCGCTGTCTACGTTCCGGCGACGATTCGTTCGTTTAGGGGATAATCTCCTAAAAGTGAACGCTTCCGCTCCCGGAAAACACGAAGAATCGGAGGAAGCGTAAGCCAGCGACGACGATTAAACTTTAACACGAAGGATCGGTTGCGATCGTTTGTATTCATCGAAAAGCGTCGAAGATCTAGCCCGGAATCCGTGCTACCGGTTTTTATTTTTCAGTCGCTAGAAACTTCTCCTCGAACAGGCACACGGTTCCTACGGTTTTTCGAGAAACGGACTTTTCGATTGCACGGCGCGAGCCTGCCCGATCCGGCGAATGGAAAGGGGAAAGGCGCAATGGCGTAGCCGCTCGACCGCTTAGTCGGGGTAAGGTCGAGAGTCGCGGGCGCGTGGCGCTCGTCTTGAATGAATTTAACCGAAGCGAGGCGAGGCGAAGCGAACCGAGGTGAACCGTCCGAAGGTAGCCGCCTGTACCGT